CCTGCCATGATCCGGCAGCACCGTGCCAAATGCGCTACAGTCATTCTTGCTTTGCAGAGGTCACAGGCCCAAAAGGAAAATACAAGGATCTACACATTACACAGACAGCTTTACAGCCTCCATTTCCTACACAACGGGAAAAAGAGGTTAATTGTATTTATCCAGAAAGCTGGGTTATCACCAAAGACTAAAGGTGAGTAAATACTCATAAAACTACCAAAATTCCACCAACCCTCCCGGTTAAAAGTCTCATCAATAGAGATCAGCTCATAAAATACATAGACTTAGCCTTTGTATTGAGCTTGCTGGAGTTCTGCATGCAGCATCATAACAACTAACAAAGCGTGTCAGGACAATTTCCCCTCCTTTTATTCAAAAGAAAGGCTGTGAAAGAGAGATAGCAGATTACTCCGGACCACTTTGCAGGCACACACTTGCCCCGGTTTACTTCAAAAACAACACCAATGTTTAAAATGTGGTAAAAAATGTCATCCTTCATGTATTGCTGCCTTGTCGTGGCGAAGGGGCTTGAGTCATTCAGAGAATCGATGAGCTATGTCATGCAGGGACACCCAAGACGGACAGGTCATAGTGGACATCCTGGGCGTCAGTTGAACTAAAATGGACAGGAATGGGTGAATTAAATTCATATTATCATATCTACTATTGTGGGCAAGAATCCCGTAGAAGAAATTGAGTAGCTTTTGGTGCTGGAGGAGGTTCTTGAGAGTCCCCTGGACTGCAAGGAGAAGAAACCTATCCATTCTGAAGGAAATCAACCCTGAGTGCTCACTGGAAGGACAGATCCTGAAGCTGAGGCGCCAATACTTTGGCCATCTCATGAGAAGAGAAGTCTCCCTGGAAAAGACCCTGATGTTGGGATAGTGTGAAGGCAAGAGGAGAAGGGGGATGACAGAGGATGAGATGGTTGGACAGTGTCACCAAAGTGACCAACATGAATTTGACCCAACTCCGGGAGGCAGTGGAAGACAGGAGGGCCTGGCGTGCTCTGGTCCATGGGGTCATGAAGAGTCAGACACGACTTGACGACTAAACAACAAAAAAGAACGAAGAAGGCCAGCCTTAGAATTTCTGCCCTAAAACAAAGAGGTTATGCAGAATGGGAATAGCAGCTGTTTCAGGGTGCAGAAGCTCTCAAAAACAGCACCGCATGTTCAAAGAGAGCACAGCACACATCTCTACCTCATTTTAAAAAAAACTCCAGGCAAATAGAAAGCTAGCTTGTCAGGAATATATATATATTTTCAAACCAGCATTCTCTGTAGTGTACCACATTTCTATACAAAGAGAGGTTTTCTCACATGGAAGACAGACTATTTCAATATTCAACTCCACCATCGCCACCCCAAGGTCAGAAAGGAAGATACAAGACTCTCTGCCTTCTGGGTTCTATGGGGATGCCTGGGCGGCAGACGGGAGCCATCTCGCGTTAAGTGCAGACAATGCAACACGCTGCAGAAAGAGGAATGCAATCTTCCCTCAGCGTAGGGGATCCCTCCTACTGCTCGCCCACAAGCATTTCTCACCAACGTAGGAGGTGTCATGTCAGAACAGGCACAAACATTGCAGGCAAATCTCCTTCTAGGGTGGATTTTTGTTATGGGGTGTGTGCGTTTGTGTCGAAAAATACCTCTCCAACGCCTGCAAACGGTGGATAAATGTCTATGGAAATCCCCTTGCTGAATAGGGAGATGAGTCAGGCGTTCGTGGGTAGCTTGGCAAGGCAGGGAAAAAAACCAAACAAACGCCCAGCCTAATTCTCAGGAAGGGGACAGGCGTGAAGATAAAATGGAGATACCCACATGGGGGCGGATAGGTTTGGCTGCTAGGACTGCAGGCATGCAGCCACTTTCTAACGTTCTCAACCCAGACACATGCATTTTGCTGGCTCAGTTTCCCCGTGCAGCCAAAGAAAACCTTAAAGCAGATGTCTGATCGTCCTTCTTTGGGAGCAAAAGGAAAACTCTGCCGGGACAGGCTGACCAACGGCTGTAGGAGTAATTCACTGACGTGCATGGCAACAGTGAGATAAATTTACTCCGAGCCTAGAAGNAATAAAGGCGGGGGGGGGGGGGTTCCTTTCCAGATAGGCTTTGACATACAGACCAACCCCATCAGTGCCACCTCACCTCCGTGCTCTTTAAATTCTTTGCCTGTAGGACAAACGGGAATCAGGGGCTGGCGGGTTCCACCGTCTGTTGTGTTGGCCCCTGGCATTTTAGCAGGAAGCATGTCAACAAACATTCCATGACATCACAGCAGCTAAGTCTATGCTAGCTTGCGATACGTCATCTTATGATTCCAGCAAGGGTGGGTTTCCCACGAACACAGCACCACCGAGCAAGAATCAGTGACAATAATCATGGCCCTTTCCTCTTCCTTGTTCTTGAAAAAGGGCAGTTCTGTGATTTCCAATATCTTGGTTCCGGTCTCCGTTATCAGCCTGCTGAAGGAGCTCCAGGATGGAGACAGAAGGTTCTGCTGAAGGTGTCCTGGGACAAGACAGACTTGGCAATGATTTTTTTTTTTTTAAAGCAGGATGCTCTTCTTTGAAAATTCCTTCCCCAAGGAAATCCACTTACCAGCTATAGGCTGATCATTTCCACCCCACTCAACAATCTTTTTACCTTTCCAGGACTCTTGGCTTCTTGGCCTCTTTCGTCTACTCAAAATTTTCTTTTGCGTTTGCTTGTTTTGTATTTTGCTACAGCGACGCCGTCGTTTTGCTATCGTGTCATTGCAAAAAACATCCCTGAAACGTCACCGACATGCTTCATGAGATAAATAAAAACGAAACCCAGGAGGAAAAGGAGAAATCCTGTCCTTATTCGAACCTTAAGATTTTTCAGACTGAAAGCAACAGAGGAGAGATGCTTTCTCCGGCCGTTCCCGTCTCTAAGGGCAAAAGGTCAGTTTTCTTTGGCAGCTGGAGGCAGGACCCACTTAGGGTGGCGCTGATGACTTGGTATCTCCTGGCTTTCGCTGATCAAAGCCACTAACCATAAAAGCAGTGATCCTGAGATCTGGTTTTTAAAGGGAGCAACTGATATATTTTAAGATGCTTTTCCACCATGGGCCAAGGAGAGGCTGAACAATGTTCACTTTGTGCCCCCGTGTGTGTATCGCAGAACAGCTCTGAACGTTCTGTGCAAAGAGAGGCAGAAAAAAAAATACTGGAAAGGCTTGGAGATCTCCCCCCCCACCCCAGAACAAGAAAGCCCTTCAGACCACAAAAACTTTCTTCTCCTGTGCTAATAACACAAGCGTGGACCGCTGCCCATCTGCACCCATCTTCTTGCTCGTAATATATCAGTCCCTAAGACTGATATAGCTCTGTGAGTTGGATTTTTGGTTGTGGAGCCAGAGGTTGGGAGTTTTTTCCCCACTGTATCTCCTGGGAGAAGAACCAGCCTGGGTGGCCCTGGGCAAACTGCACTGTCCCAGGGCACCCCTGGAAGAAGGGAACAGTCAACCCCTTCCCTCTACCTGGAAAGATTCGCCGTAAGTCAGAACTGGCTTGATGGCAGGTGATTGTTATTAGGTGGGTAGTGGTGGTTCTGTGACATGTCACACTTTCTCTGCAACCTACACTTGAACCCATAATCAAGTTTAAACATGTTTATGTGAGTAATCAGGCCTTTCTCGCCAGGTTACTCCTAAACATGTCCAAAACCATTTATAAGTTCAAGTATAGACTGCAGCTGGAGAAAATGACACATCATAGAAATCTCCCCCTGATTATTGTTACAACTTTTAAACTAGCAGTTTAAAACCAAAAAAACATGAAGGTCACCATGTGGATCCACGCAATGCGTATCAGGCAGATGGGGCTTTCAGAAAACAGAAGCAAGTGGGTGAAAGATACGGACTCTTGAACACAGTAAGCAGATCAGGAGATTGCCACAAGGTGCTACTTCCTTTTAGTCAAGCAGAACCAGTATAAGAACCATAATATCCATCGTTAAGGACAGATATAAGGAGCCTACACTCCCAGTCATTTTATGCCTTACTCCCCTCCCTCCTTCACTTTTTGAAAGTGTATCCCTTTAAGGGCAGGGAACGACATCTTTTCACAGTGTACAATGCCATGAAGCCGCATTTATTTCTTGAGAATTACAGGGAGGATGGGACTGTTTAAAAACACAAGACAAACTAAGGCTGGGACAGCAACCCTTCCAACGACACCAGCAATTACTCAAAGGCTTGATTATTTTTCACCTGCTGCAAAAATCACAGAACATCTCGCTGCTCAAACAGCAGAGGTATGTTTTACCGAAACATCCTACCTGCAGGTAGCCAAAAGTGGGTGCTGGTTTCCTCTCTCACCCAAGACACCCCTAGCTTGACAGGCCAAGGGAGGAACAGCAAGCTTGAGGAAGACACTAAAACAGGAAAGGGCCAGAGATAAAAAGATAATCACAAATTGGAAAGCCCTGACATTTCAGATCCAGATTGTCACTGTCGTAGCCCGAGGAGGACCGTCGTTCTTTTATTAGCCACCAAGCAGCACTTTGGGGAAGTCCCGTGCTGCAGGGCAGCAAAGAGACTGCAGGCATCATCCTTCAGCTCAGATGCCAACAGGAAGCTCCAATCCACAGCCACTTCCAGGAGCCCCACCGGGGCCGGGCCACCCAGTTTGGCATGGGAATGGGAGAGGTTAGCAGGGTAGGAAGTCGAACCTCTGTGCCCCACGTCGCCCTGGTGGCCTCAGCTCTGCTTTAAGGCCAGTCTACTCTGCTTCCATAGCATCAGCCTCTTCTGCCTCTTCTCCATCAAAGTAGCGCTCCTCCTCGTCCCGTGAGACTATGTCCAGGTTGTCAAAATCTGGATTCTCATCAACTTCACTGCAGATGGGGAGGAAGCAGAGAGAAGGGAGGAGGGAGTTATTTCCAAGGATGTATTCAGACTAATACAGTCGTGCCCCGCTTTATGAAGAATCCGCTTTATGACGATCTTTTTGTGATTGCAGTACGTCTGCTCAGATGCCAACAGGAAGCTCCAATCCACAGCCACTTCCAGGAGCCCCATCAGGACCGGGTCACCCAGTTTAGCATAGGAATGGGAGAGGTTAGCAGGGTAGGAAGTCGAACCTCTGTGCCCCACGTCGCCCTGGTGGCCTCAGCTCTGCTTTAAGGCCAGTCTACTCTGCTTCCATAGCATCAGCCTCTTCTGCCTCTTCTCCATCAAAGTAGCGCTCCTCCTCGTCCCGTGAGACTATGTCCAGGTTGTCAAAATCTGGATTCTCATCAACTTCACTGCAGATGGGGAGGAAGCAGAGAGAAGGGAGGAGGGAGTTATTTCCAAGGATGTATTCAGACTAATACAGTCGTGCCCCGCTTTATGAAGAATCCGCTTTATGACGATCTTTTTGTGATTGCAGTACGATGGTCTAAATGGGGGAACTTCGCTTAGCGATGATCAGTTCCCTGCTTCGGGAACCGACTTTCGCTTTATGATGATCAAAAACAGCTGATCGTCGGGTTTTCAAAATGGACACCACGTGCTTAAAATGGCTCCCTGCTGTGCTTAGGGACGGATTCCTCACTATACAGGCAGTGAAAATGGCCACTGTATTGGAGGATCTTCGCTGGATGGTGAGTTTTTACCCCACTGGAACGCACTGAACGGTTTTCAATGCATTTCAATGGGGTTTTTAATTTGACTTTAAGATGTTTTTGCTTAACGGCGATTTTCCTGGAACGGATTATCCTCGTTAAGTGAGGCACCACTGTATATATATCTGAAAAGAGGGAGAAAACAGTTTAAAGCAATATGTTGTAGTTGAACTGACTACAGGATTATGTAGTATTATGAAAGCCTCTACTCCACTTCAGTTGCTGCTCCATACCTCTAGCACTGACCTATCTAAGGAGTGGGGTCTGATTACTGGATGATGATATAGTGTTTACTTAGAGTTGAAGTTAAAGATTCAACAATGGTGTATCTGCATTTTGATGTAGGAGGACAGTTCCAAAATTTTAAAAATCGATGTCCCTTAAAATGAGGACATACTGATGATAGTCTGGCCTTCCTGCATCAAAATATAGATACCGGAGATGAGCATAAATCAGAAAAAATGTATTCATTTTGATCAGTGTTTTGTCAAGGTTGATGAATCACAATTTTTTTCTGATGAACCAACAAATCTATTCATTAGTGATTTGTCAAGGTCGATGAATCACTTTTTTTTCTGATGAACCAACAAATCTATTTGTCCATTTGCTTTTGACTTTAAAACCCTATAAAACGCCTCCCCCAAGCACCCAGAGACGCCAGATTCACAGAGAAACTTCTACTGCCTCTCCTCTACAATCCCTCCATGTTTGGAGAAGATTGGGTTTCAGACATCCAAGTTATACACCCGAAAAGGGGGTCCCCACCACCACCAGGAAAGTGCCCTTTAGCAGCTGGCTTGGGGAAAGCTATAAACACTAAGTACAGAAATATTTAAAAGAGACAAACAAATACTTTCAGACTTCAGTGGGTAAGTGAATCAGTGGATACTGATCCTGGGAGAAGGCGGCTGCAGAAAAACCCTGGAAAACGGCACCCCCTCAATTCTTCTTCCTGAGGTCCAGCCTCACCTGTAGTCGAAGTCCCGATCCTTGCCCTCAAGGAAGCGCTGGTACATACGGCTGGTGAACTCTTCTCGCAAGAATGCTTTCTCTTCCGGGTCAGGGACCCATTCGTCCATCTCGCAGTTAGAGGCCTTGTCTAAGGAGGGGAAGCCACACCGGGGTGTGTGTGTGTGTGTCAGGAACCAGGACAACACTGCACACAACACTGCCCTCCCTCCCTCCTGATTTCATTATTCAGCTACGGTTAAGAGAATCGTCAAGGTATGTGCCGTTGGCGTTTCTATTCCCCTACGTTCCTCCCCTACCTAAACATATGCATAACTAACATTAGCTAGCCTGTTCAGATGGCGCTGCCTGCATTGGAGGAAGTGGGCTGCAATCCACCTCACACATGCCAAAAACATTGCTAGCCTTTAAGGTTCCACAAGACAGTTACTTTTGCTGCAAATGAATAAAGCAACTGCTCCCTGGGAATTATAATGGTGGACAAAGGGCCCAAGGAGATCCATTAAGCCTAACATCTCAGCAGAGATGTGATCCCATGGGTCTCTCCCTTCTATCTACCACAACACACTGCCTCTCCAATTTCTAAGCCACTTCACCCAATTCTGTGTGATCTCTGGAGCCTACAGCCCCAGTTCCCAGCCTCCCCCCTTCTGCCCACCACCTTCCCACTCATCCCACCCCATCCTCAGGTGGCCCATCATTCTCTTCCACCAGAGCCTTTGTTCGAACGAGTAGAATTTACAGCCTTTCCAGCACTCCAGGATTTCTGCTTTCTTGCCACAGCTACACAATCAGTCCGTTTATTGTTACAGCCTTTAAACCAATCGTACCGGGGGAGGGGGGCAAACCTTTACACGTTTTCCAAAATTCCAAATCCTTCATAAAAATGTTTAACAGTTTAAAATCTAATATCTAATGACCAGAGAGTTTCCGGGACCCGAGTATCGCCGTACAGAATGTGATTCAAGTCATCTTAAGGGTCTAGAACAGAGAGAAGAAGTTCAGGTCTGTTTTGTTTTTGCTTTTCTGAATGGCCAGGAATTTCTTTTTTAAATCAGTGGGGGGGAATGATCTCCTTACGTGCCACCTCACAACGCAGGTGAGTGAACAACCATGTAAAACTACAACAGCCACCCCGACTCCTAATTGAAGGGAAGATGTTGAAGAGTTGTACATGGGTGATCAAAACAGGATGGCCTTGGAGCATGTTTTTATTTGCCAGCCATTCTGTCTGGCTGAGCCTTGACCAAGCACCTCATGTTTAACACAGAACAGGACCCAGGGCATGCTGGCCTCTTTCTTCCATACCAGTCACAAGGCAGGGAGCTTTAAAAGCCTCCCGAGCCCTTCCTGCTCTGGGTCTTATTTAGAAGGAGCTGCTGCAATATTTCAAACACCCTGATTCAGAGAGCTGGCAATCCAAAAAAGAGCCACTGTTCTGGCCTCACCTTCGTCATTTTCATGGCTGCTATGTTCTTCGTCATCCTCGTCCTCGTCGTCCTCCTCCTCTTCCTCCGCAGCCTCTTCCTGCTCCCGCTGGACCTGTAGCCGCCGCTGGATGACTTGCTCCTGGTAGGAATCCAAGAGGACCCCCGAGAGGGAGAGGGAAGCCTCTTCCTTGCAGCTGCCCAGGGCCTGCAACTCCTCCTCGCTCAGGTACTGGCCAATGTACTGCTCGTAAAGGAGCGGGTCCCGGGAACGCATCTGCTCGTCGCTGAAGTATTCTCCATCTGGAAGCAGTAAGGAGAGAGATGGGTTAGCAACGGAGAACTCCGGGAAACAAGGTAAAAGGCTGCAGAAACTGGCAGGTGGTTGGGGCCAGGGAAGACCAAAAGAGTCCTGCCAGATCAGACCAAGGAACTCCCCTCCCAATGGAGGCCAGGCAGACCCCCCGTCTTTGTTGCCCTTCCACAAGGAGGCCAAGACCGTCCTTTTCAGGAGGGGTTTTCTCTGAGTGACTTGGCACAACCCAAAACAAGCTTTTAAATGGATTGTTGTGCCTTGCTGCTTTTCAATTTGTTTGTAGAATTGATTTTACGCCTGCCAACCTAGCCGTTCGAAAGCATGCAAATCCAAGTAGATAAATAGGTACCACCTCGGTGGGAAGGTCACACCATTCCGTGTCTAGTCACGCTGGCCACGTGACCCCGGAAACTGTCTTTAGACAAACGCTGGTTCTACGGCTTGAAAACGGGGATGAGCACCGCCCCCCCTAGAGTCAGACACGACTGGACTAAATATCAAGGGGAACCTTTACCTTTACTGCTTTTACGATATCTGTTTCGCTCAAAATATTTATAGACTTACTGTTTTTAGCTTTAAATATTGTGATTTTAATGATGTAAGCTCCTTGGGTAAGAAAGGAAAGGAGAAAAGAAAGGAAAGGAAAGATCCTGGCTACTTTCTTTCTATCCATTCTATTACTAATGAATGCAAGGACTTTTTTCGTGAATATTCCCCAGGCTGCATTCTTAAACGCAGTTGCTAAGGAACTCCACTATATGTACACTTTCTGTCCACACAATGTGTAAAAGAATAAAACACTTGCGCATTCAGACCCCTATACCTCTGATGAGCTGCTGCAGGGCTGCGTAGCGCTTGTTCCGCACCCAGGTATGCCGAGTTTTGCTCACGCCAGCCCTGCGCACTTCAGCGCAGTAGAAATCTGCCTCGTAGTTGCCGGAGAGGTGGTGGAAGCATGCCAGGTGCTCCTCCCGCAGGGCTGTCCGGAAACGTTCCAAGAAGACCAAGGGCTTGGTGTGGTACAGATCCCGTAAGATGGCCAACTTCTGCGCAGGCGTAAAATCCGGTTCGTCCTTCTGTTGGCTCTGGACAGCCAAACGGCTATTAGCCACAGCACTGAACATGGCTAAGAGAGTGGAGTCAGTCTCTTCAGCAGGCTCCAGTTTGGAGGCACCAACAGACTCTTGATTCCCACCATCCCGGAGGGATGACTGGATGTCATAAGCCTTCCCGCTATGGCTGGCATCAACTTCATCAGTAATAGAACCGGATTTTCTGTTACCCTTGTGAGAGAGTTCAGTGGCGCCATTCACAATGTCAGCAACTGGAGCGTCAGTCCTCAATTCGAGTGATGCACAGGCTGACCCAGACGTATCAGAGAAAAGATCTGATCCTGCATTCCAGGAGCGTCCCTTCCCATAATGCTGTGTTTTATATGTCTCACTCCTGCTCCAGGAATAGCTGTGTGGGTCTGGGACCCCTGTCATTTGTTCTCCCCAGTGAAGCTGGTGCCATGAAAAGCTCTCAGCTGCCTCGAACGGATAGCCACCCAAGGCAGCTGCTTTCTGTCCATTCTCATGGGGACCTTCCAACAGCACACTGGGGGCCTTGCTGCTTCCAGGAGAGAGGCCTCTGGCACCTGGGATTTCCACAGCTTCTTCTGCGGAGTGGAGTGGCTTGGTGGCCTCTGTTGTGTCTGGGAGACCGCTCTCCATCATCTCTGTGGCGGGAGGATTGTCCGTTGTTTCTTGCTCTACGCCCCTGAGAGTGTGAACACCTGGAAAGACAGAGAAATCTGTCGTTTTGTTGCTCAAACAGCCGCTCTATCTCATCAGTGGGTAAATAATAACTAACAGCCCAATCACAGGCATGTTTAAGACCGGGCTCTTTTTGCAAAGTCTTGCCCCCAATTAGCAAGCAAGCAAAATAAGTTTCTTGTATGGCACACACGCCATTGCAACATATATCGGATAAAACGATATAAAACGATATAAACAACATAATATAATCCATTAAAATATAGTACAATACAATATTAAAAGCCATTTAGAATCAGGTCGATTTCTATTACGGCACAACATTTTGACATCTAAGGAGATGACAAAGACAGAAGGAAGACATTAACCAATGCCAGCAGCAAGCACCTATCGTGCGCGGGTGGGGGGGATTAACCAATGCCAGCAGCAAGCACCTATCAAGCGTTTGGGGGGGGGGGAATAACCCCCAAAGCTTTTCTATAATCAGAACTCAATAGATCAGCGAAAAAAAAAGATGGAAGATTCAAAAAGGCAAGGACAGAATGTTCTCACATAAAGGGGCCGTTTTTAGGGTGCCTAACAGACCTAACACCCTTTTGAACCCAGTGGTCGGATAATCTCCGTTTCAGTACAAATGTTTTGCAGTGGGTAGGCCAAGGTTTCTCACATAACTTTTCAGAGTCATGGCTCGGCCACCCAGTTGGGTGGGATAGAAATGTAAGTAAGTAAAGCAGTAGAGAGAGAGATTTGCATATGAATGTCCCCATCTCTATAAGTCAGTAAATAAACACACTCCATACACACACATGTATACACACAGAGACATATACATACAGAATACACGTGTATGTACGTACACACACACACGTTTGTACGTATACCCTCCAGGAATCCCACCGTTCCCGCCACCTCTCCTCTCACCCCCTCACCGCTTAGCAGCCCCTCTGACTTCAGCAAAGGAAGAAAGGAAGGGCGTAAATCAAGTAAGGACGGGCCTGCGTGTCTCTCTCTCTTTTATAAATAAGCCAAAGGAGACCAGGCCACGGGCAGAGGGGGACCCATTTCCATGCAACACCACTCCTTCCCTCCGTCCCTAACGCAGCAGGCGCGTAGAAAACCAGACACTCACCGGGCGGCTTCGCCTCCGGAGGGGCGTCCCCTCCCGCTTCCATCCCCGGACTCCCGATCCCCCTCCGAAGGCGGAAGACCGAGCTACCCGGACGGACTCTCCGAGAGGAACTTCCGGTTCCGGCGGTGCGACGGCGAAAGAGTTCCCCCCTCTCCCGCAGTACCAGGAGACATGGGTTCCGGCCGGCGGAGCTCGAGAAGAGGAACGTCGAGATGAGACGTCGGCTTGTGGATGTTCAGGCGGTGGAGAGGAGAGCGAAAGGCAAATAAGCCTCCCACCAAGCGGTTCCAGCAGGGCTGCTTTGCCAGATCCACCTCTCAAAAAATTAGAGAAAGTCCAGAAATATTGGCGATGTTTACATCATCCACACCCTATGGGTTTCTTCTTTAATTTTCTCATGCAGAAAGGAGACCTTTTTGCACCGTTACTGTACATTTCATGTTTCACCTACGCCAGCGATGGACATCCAGCTCAGGTTTTGCGCACCAACTCAAATGGGGTTAGAATTAAGCTAGATAGGCAAAAGACCTAACTAGCTTTCAGGGGGCCCGATGACCTAGGGGTTTCCACGGGGTGGTCTTCTTGGCTGTCCCTGGACCAAGGGACAGCTGATCTGAGCAAGAAGAAAAGGATCAAAATCCAGCTGTTGGTGATGCTTCCATCCATGAAATGTCGTAAGCAGCACATTGCTGCTAATTAGGCAAAGGGCCAGTTGTATTTTTGGGGACCTTGCCTAAATTGGCAATTGGATTCTGGCCAAGGATTGAAACAGCGCTGAATTATGAATTAAGGTGAAGCAAAATAAATATTTAACCAGTTTTCCTCATTTACTGTGCTATATATTTGTTCCCACACTCATCCCAAGTGAAACACTGTTTTCCCTCGTATCTCACTGATGAAAACTGGCTGCGGGATCTACAAACAAGGGCTGCGCTGGATTTGACACTGAAGAAACCCCCGCATCAGCTTCTCTAGTCTTTATGGCCACCCATGGATGCTCTTCTCTGTATAATTCTTCCATCCAAGAAACATCATTTATGAGTCAAAAGCTTTTCATGCTCCTGGTACCCTGGTTACAGATGCACTTCCCAAAGAGGTTCACCAAGAACCAACTGTGGCTATCATATAGTGCCAAGGCAAGCCCATTTTTTTGTTCACCTGCATTTCAGCAGAGTTAAGTTTTATCTCCAATTTTCTTATTGGTCATTGTAAGGTGCTCACCATATTGAAATCTGCCATTCTGACCGGCATGATAAAAAGGTTTTCAAAAACTCTGTAAATGGGGAAAATTAAAATGATGCAGCTTGAAAAGATATTTCAATGGGCAATTAGGGACCAATGAGAGTCTTGGATCTCAAGGTCTTTTCACAAAGACATTTTGTATGTGAATGGAGAGGTGTTCATGTATTTCTGTAACAGCTTAGCACCATCCTGAGCAGACAGCTGTTGAACCTTCTCCATTACTGTCTGCTACAGCAAATGGGAGAAAAGGGTGAGTAAACAGAAGTTCTAAGAGGCAGGAATCTCAGTGAAGATCTAGTAACATTGTGTCTGTGTATGTTGCAGTCAGAATACAGTATGAAGGTTGAAAAGGAAAGGAAAAACACGCAAGACAAATATTTTAAAGTTCAATATTCACTCTTTTTTCCTCTCCAAATACAAAAAGCTGTTACAATTCAACTCAACACAAAGCATGTGCAAAGTTACAGAAACTTAGACATTGTATAAAAAGTTACACATTTAAGATGATTTCCCCCCTCTTTTGTTTTTCCCCCTCTCCTATATTGAGCAAAAAAGAATTGTTACCTTGATGAAAATATTAACAGCTGCTGACCCACAGTAAAAAGTTACAGAAAAATCTAAAAAAACAAACAAACCCAAAACTGTAATTACCATAAGATAAGCCATCTCTTTGCCCTCCAGTTTTAATAGTTATTTGCAGAAAAGACAGATAAAAACACCTCAAAGACAGGTGACAACAAACTGCAGGAAGAGTTTCCAAAATGACTGGAATTTATGGGAGTCATGGGAGGTGGGGTGGGAGGGTGGTGGCAAGTCCTAAGAAGGCTGCAAAAGGGATCACCCCAACTACTGTGGAACGTTTGATACGAGGATGGATCGTGGCCTAAAAAAATACAAGGATGTGAGGCTGAAGACTCGAGCTTCTTCAGAATCAAGAGTAATTTTTAAAAAGGAATAAAACTATTTTCAACAAGGAGAGACAAGAAATCATGTAATTTCCTCAAGAGGGGATGGTACAGAGAGAGAGAAGGAAAACATGCCTCTAGCTGTACAGGTAAAAATGCAGCCACCCTCCGGAACTACGGCAAGGAGGGAAGGGCAGAGAGGCAATGTCCTTCCCAGATCCCTGGAGACTCATAAATGCCCGCTATCAAGTTAAAAACTTGCCGAAGACGGCAGAGCGACTTGCTCCTTTCCAAGAATGACACGCCGTCATCACTGAGTGCCGGAGCCACCCTGCGAGGTGCCCGCGTAGCTCCCGTAGTCGTAGCTGCCATAGTATGGAGGCCACTGACTCTGGTTTTGATAGTATTGGCTCCACTGCTGGGCGTACTGTGAGGGGAAGGAAATGGCACACTGTTAGGGTTTAAAACATCAGGGAATTGGAAATCCACCCGAAATTGTAGTTTCTTCCAAGGTCCACGTCAAGTTCATTTTCACATCTCTTTGACTCTGGGGTTTCCTGCAAGCTCTTTTTTCTAGTTAAAACAGACCATCGCCCCCGGGAATGTTCACCTGGATGGAGTGAGTGTGTTACTTTACTGCTGATAAAACAATGCAATAAAGGGGGTTCTGCATCCTTTCGAGCCAGGCTGGGTACTCTGGAAGCTGCATAAAGTACGCATATTGAACCTAATGCATTTTAGTTCTGCCTGTTCCAGGAAGGGATTAGGGAAGTGCCCCTTTCCTAGTACAGCCCTTAATAATCAGAATTACATAAAGAGGAAGTGTATACTTTGTGTGGTACATACAAGTCACAGAACTAATTTCTAAAAAACAATCCCCCCACAAAAAAACCCTCAGTATTGCCTTCAACAAGCTTAGCACCCACATTTTTATAAGGAGCCCCATGGTGCAGTGGTTTAACGGCAGTACTGCAGCTAGAACTCCATTCATGACCCAGATTCAATCCCATGTAGCAAGCCAGCTCAAGGTTCACTCAGCCTTCCATCCATCTGAAGTTAAATGGGGTCCCCAGTTCAGGGGGGCGGGGGGGGGGCAATTTGGAGCCTGCATAATTAAATTGCAAACCACCCAGAGAGGGCTTAAAGTTCTATCAGCAGCATGCTTTATCTGCCACCTTTGCATTCCACTTTTCCTGCCTGCACAAAGCCTCAGAAAAACATTTTGCCTAAAGAGTTCTGTGAGGTTCGATAAAAGGACTTAGACAGCGGAGTGAAAATTTTCAAATCCACTGTACAGTGCCAGCTTGTTTTCCAGAAGCACAAAATCAGCGATAGCCTTCCTTTTTTTTTTTTTTTTTTTTTGCCTTACATAGCAACCATAAAGTGGAAAACCCAGCTGAGCATCCCCACCGGGAAGCAAGGCAGAAAATGTGAAGAACGCCCGCTCCCCTCTCAGACCTCCTCCAAGGCTGCTCTGCTCTTCTTCGGACACACTAACAAAGTTACTTAATTTCTTCTCACCTACCTGTTGGTACTGGTTGTAGCTGGGTGGGGCTGGGGCCGGAGCAGGAGCTGGGGCGGGAGCTGGGGCCGGCGGGGGGGGTGGGGGCTGGGTGTAGGACTGGCTGTAGCCACCATAGTTCCCATAGTTGTAGCTCGGAGCTCCGTAACCACCTTGGCTGTAGCTGGATGGAGGGTTGTAGGGCTGGCTGTAGCTTTGCTGCGGAAGATGGACACGAATCATTAGAAGAGCTGGTTTTATTCACAGACAGACGAAAAGAAGCTGATGGGTGCCCTTCAGGATTCAAGGCCAGGCAGGGTTGGGGATGAGAAGACTGAGACAAAGAATGGCTTAACGGGCTGACCCGCTCAGCTCCCCTCCATCAGAACTGAATGCGGGAGCAGCTCTTTAGCCAGCTAAAAATTACACTCTTTAGCACATTTGGTAGGAAAGCCAATCAATGAACTAGAACTTATTTCCAGGTCCACCCCAAGAACAAAAGCATTTGAAGTTACTTCTTGCTAGAGAGAAATCAAGAAGAAGTAAGCCATTGATTGTAGCCTGAATTTTTTATAGACTAGGGAATAGAGATGGGCACAAATCGCTTTGTGCCGGGTCATCCTAAGCCACAGGCACGGCACCCCATGTGCCGCACATTTCCTCTCCCCCACTGACAAGCCAGTGCATGCTGCTCGTTCCCTCCTCGTCGCATGATCTTCCAGTCCCAGCAAGAACACGGATGTCCCTTCTCCGCCTCCTCCAGCAACTGGTCACTCAACGGCACTGCTGCAGGAACTGCTTCCCCGCCTCCTTGTCTGAGCGGCCAGCTGCTGGAGGAGGCAGAGAAGTCCACGGTCTTGTCAGGCCTGGAATATCATGTGATGAGGAGGGAATGAGCGTTGTGCACCAACCCATCTCTGCTAAGGTGCTGTAAGCCATAACCAGGCCATATGGACAACTCACACATGGACAACTCAAGTGTGGAAATGACATGAAGAGAACAAGCCAGGCTGTTTTCAGGCCTGGAATATCATGTGATGAGGAGGGAATGAGCAGCGTGCACCAACCCATCTCTGCTAAGGTGCTAAGGTGCTGTACCAGGCCATATGGACAACTCACACATGGACAACTCAAGTGTGGAAATGACATGAAGAGAACAAGCCAGGCTGTTTCAAACAATACGGATGGAAGAAAAAGAGCCAGTTCTGCCTCAGGGTGACAACAGCCATCTTCTTTTCTGGCTCTCTGCTAGTTTCTGTTTCACTCTCAGCAGTAGTATGGCCTGGGCAGGCGGGCGGGCACACACATATACACACTTACCTGTGGCGCTGGAGGATAAGTACTGGGAGGAGGATTAGCAGCAGGGGCTGGAGGGGAGGGTCCCAGATTGCTGCTGCTCTTGTAGGTGTTTTGGTTGCGTGCTGGGCTGTAGTTGCTCGGGGGTTGGTTGTTCCGGTTGTAGTTCCCCCGGTTGTTGTTGTTGCTGTCACGGTTTCCACCTCCCCAGCGGTTCTGGTTGTAGCCACCCCGATTGAAGCCTGAATAAAAGAAAGCCATAGCTGTAGAAAGGTCATGCTACCCAAGAAAGGCAAATATTTTAGAGTCCTGTCCTTCAGCTGTCCTTCTTGGCACTTGCAAATTCCCAGAGGTTTTTTTTTCTCCCACCACATAAGGAGCCAAGACTATGCTCTTATGAAACTCCTTTTCATACGGGCAATGTGTGTGAAAATGAATCAACTCAATTCATACAATTCTCTCTATGCTCATTAGGTTGGGATGTGCTGAAACTCAGCCCCTTCTTTCCACCCACCACTTCCTCCAGGTGTCTCCAACGAACCATGATGTCCTTTCCTACCTAAACCAGGAAATAAAACGTTCCAAGTTTGGAACAAGTTAGGCTCCTGCTAGCTGATAGCCATCGTTTTACAGTTCAGACAGAAATTATGAGCAAGAGCTGCCACGGCAAGTGGAAGGTGCATACATCTCTAATTAAACTGAGATGTGACCAGCCAAATACAACTTTAGTCTTGCTCCCGCCCTTCTCCCTTGTATGCTGGTGTTTAAACTTTGTTCAAATACATGCTAACCATAAATGGACACACTAAAATAATAATAAAAAACAACAGGATAAACCTGGATAAAACATTCCTGCACTTTTTGTTGCAGAGATAGAAAGTAAAGCTCCAAAGGTTAGATTTATAGGTAGAATCTTGCTTCAACATGGCCTGTACCCGGTGTGGCAACCCTGGCAGGGCCAAAAATCTGTGCACTCTACTGCAGTGAATAAAGATGATGAGAGGATTTCCCTGGCAGTTGTTTCCAGGCTTTGAAACACCCTCCCTAATAAGGTTTACTTGGGGAAAACTTTGTCTTATTCACCTAGCAATTCTAATTTATCATAAACATCTTAGTTAAGGGTGTTGTTTGCTGGATCTTTTCATGCAACCACTGAGCGTATGCTACCCTGGCATCCTAATGGGTTGAAAGGTGGCAGCCAAATTGAGCACACTCAGCTACCTCCGTGGATAACCACAGCTTGTAACTTTGTGGCATCAACAACACAGTAAAACTTGATGAACTTCATTTCTAGGTTTGTGACAGTTCCTTAACCACAATTTCAGATTCTCAGATTTACCAACAGTGCTGGTTGTACCTCTAAAGCCCTAAACAGCTAAGTCCAAGCTATCTAAAAGGCTGAATCTATAAGCCTGCCCAGGCATTAAAATAATCAGGAGAGGCCTTTCTCTCGGTCCCACCACCCCTCCAGGCACGCTTGGTGGGGACTCGGGAGAAGGCCTTCTCTGTGGCTGCTCCCAGAGACTCTGGAACTCCCTCCCACTGGAGGTCAGCCTGGCCCCATCTTGGCTGTCCTTCCGCAAGCAGACAAAGACCTTTCTCTTCAGGCAAGCTTTTTTTTTTAATGACTGGCTGTCTGAGAGGGGCTTTTGTATAGATTGTTAGGCTCCGTCGCTTTTAAAGAGGTTTTCAGTATTGATTTTATATACCATTTTAATATAATACTTGCTTAATTCTTTTCAAATATTTGTATACTTACTGTTTTTAGCTTTTACATATCATCTTTTTAATGATGTAAGCCGCCTTGGTTCCTTTTAAGGAAAAAGGCAGGGCAAAAGTATTTCAAATGAACAAACTAACCAATGGTGGTTAAGAGATATGGCTGTATAAAGGCTGAAATCCTGACAAAGCTGAGAAGACGACCAGCCGTCGTATCCCCGGCCTGCTTTGTGCCAACCCAGTGGAGTCTCAGTGTTCTTTCCAACACCTGCGGGTAACCTATGAATATTGGCGCGTGGCAACTTGTGTAAACTCACCTCCTCCGCCACCGCCGCCTCCTGCACTGCCTCCACCGTTGCTGCCCCCTCCTCCTCCTCCACCTCCTGCACCACCGCCTCTGAATCCACCGCCGCCACCTCCACGGTTTTGGAAGCCACCACGACTGCCTGCGGGCGGCCCTCGGTTATCGAAGCGCTGGAAACTGCCACCTCCACCTCCGCCTCGGCCACGGAAGCCTCCCCCGGCGCTCCCGGCGCGGTTGTCGAAGCGTTTCTCGGGCGGCGGTCCGGCTTTCTTGCCTTCCTCGTTGTACTGCCTCACCAGCTTCTCTGCTTCGTCCCGCTGCATCTCAATGTAGACCACCGAGTCGAGGAAGTCGCCTGCTTCCGGCAGGGCAAAGTTCGCTGGCGGGAGAAAACAAAAAGGGGGAACATCAGTCCTCGGGGGTGAAACGAGGATGACGTGGGAGGAAGGAGAGGCTTTGGTCCGGGTCTCCAGGAAAAGACGCGAGAAAACAGGAAAGAGAAAGAAGTGGGAAGATCAAGGGAAAGACACGCTGTGAATTATAAACAATGACACACATATAGGATTCTTTGTGCACTTACTGCCATGCTACTGTCAGGAAGACATAGCACTGCATCTCAAGCAAATGGTGTTATCTACAGCAGACTAACCCAGCCCCACACCCTTTGGGTGTTGAGGACTACAATCACCATAATGCAACATGGACAGCACCAGAGGGAAGGCTGTGCTTAAAAAAAAGTGAGACTAACCCAGCCCCACACCCTTTGGGTGTGGAGGACTACAATCACCATAATGCACCATGAACAGCACCAGAGGAGGGAACGCTGTGCTTTAAAAAAAAAGTGAGAGCACTCAAGGAGAGGCAGAGTTCTGCCCTGCAAGAACCCCCCCAGCTCCAATTTTCCTTCTTTTGGGCTCACACGCACGCACCTCCTCCACCTGGAAAACTCACTGCTTGACTGACAGCGACAGTATTTGCTCAGCCTAACCTGTGCTGCAAAGATAAACCGCAAAATCTGAAAGCCACTTGGTGCAGTGAGAACTACTCGCATTTGAAAGATGCTGGCTGTATAGAGAACGGAAAAAGGACTGCGAATTTCCTTTGCTGCTATTAGCCTCCCACCCTCTGGGGCCGCAAGGTGGTGGGGATCTTCCCCTTCCAGGTTGAGATAACAGCTGTGGTGTGGAGAGCTCCAGCAAGACTCTGCCTTCCTCTGTGTTACGGCACTAAACCTTCCTTTGCTCCGAATGCTCTTCTATGATTTCCAAGTCAGCCCTGCTGGACTGACCAAGCTTAGTTCCAAGAGGCCCCCACACATTACCAGGCTTCAGAACTCCCGAGAACTTCTCCTAAGCCCTAGCAAGACCTGTGAGACTATTTCCCAGCCACTGAGAGGCAGGCTGAGCTTACACGCCGGGCACACCCGATTGAGGGGACAAGCAGGCTTTTTTGGATTGAGATAAAAGACAGTATGAGCACGTCATGCACATGGATCTTTCCCTTTTCCCCAACTGGGGGGTGGGTGGGGTGGGGGCAACTTGGGTGAGCAGGAAAGAGGAAGTGATGACTGCGGGGCGGTGGAGGAGGAAGACAAAGGGACCACACATTACCAGGCTTCAGAACTCCCGAGAACTTCTCCTAAGCCCTAGCAAGACCTGTGAGACTATTTCCCAGCCACTGAGAGGCAGGCTGAGCTTACACGCCGGGCACACCCGATTGAGGGGACAAGCAGGCTTTTTTGGATTGAGATAAAAGACAGTATCAGCACGTCATGCACATGGAATTTCCCTTTTCCCCAACTGGGGGGTGGGTGATTGTGGGTATTCAAGGGCAACTTGGGTGAGCAGGGAAGAGGAAGTGATGACTGTGGGGCGGTGGAGGAGGAAGACAAAGGGGGAACTGGAAAGAGCTGAAGGGGTCGCTTTCAAAGCAGTCCTCAACCTAGACACACCGTCACGTTAGGTTTCCCCCTTTTATCACCTGTGTCATGTGTGTTGGTTTTTCTAGGATCCTACCTTTCATTTCTAACACTGCGTGATCGGGCACATCCTTCCCCTCCTCATCAGTGCGCTTTATTGTTCGATCTTTTAAATCCTCGTCCGTGGGACAAATTACAATGGCCTTGCGTTGGAAACCTTCAAAAGGGCGCATTTTTCGTCTCTGGGCAGATCCATAGACATTTGTCTAGCAATGGTGACAAAGAAGAGGCAAAAACACTGGTCGTTACTTGTCAGTCTGCGTTCTTCCTTAAAAACGGAGCAAAGGGTCCCCCAAAACCAGGAATGGCAGGTTGACTCCCCAACCACCCACGGATACAGAAGGATGTGCGTAGATCAGCGGCTGTGTGTACAGTCCACCCCACATTTGAGCGCATTCCCTGACAACTAACCTACCTTTCTGGATTTTCTCCCAACTTCTAAAAGTTTTTGTTTAAAGCAACATACTCTAGCAATCTGCAGGTGTTTGTCATTTAAACGAGGTCTCCTGGGACATCAGGCTAACGAAACAGGGCCCGCTTTGTTCAGAAACAGGGCAAATGATATTTTGAAGGGAATGCTAGAGCCAGCTTTAGACAACCTGAACACAAGAAGCAAAAGGGGTGTGTGTCATCTAGCCATTTAGACGTGTTTCTGTAAAGCAGCCCCATTTTCAAGCACTAGAGTTAAATGAGGTCTGACTTCTGCTTTAAGGAGAGCTCCGGATAATCTTCCTCACAGGCCCACTTTAATTGCATTTTATGTATATCTTCATTACGTCTTGGATACCAGAGCTTCATGTATATGGAGGCTGGGACACCCTCTCTTTAAACTGTTGAGAAAATCTCAACAGATAGTGGGAGAGGGCTCAGTAAAATTATTTAGCAAGCCACAACGAAGGACAAAATCTCATGTTAGCAAGGTCAGTGACAAGGGTTTATGTATCTGTTTTGAGGCTTCCCATGGATGAAAACGTATTTACAGATGAGTGCCACCAGAAATTCTGCAGTGAAAGAAAAGCAAGGGCTGGAAATCAGACAGCTCAAATTCCATCATGTGACAAAGTTTCGGAGCGTGCCCCCCTCTCTATCACTTTGCAGCACAACATGGTGAGTCAGCTTCTAATCTACGCAGACCTTGAATCTGGCCTCTACACCTGAGTCTTTTCGGTCAAGCACAAAGGTTCCTACGAACTGTCCTGCCACCATTAACACACAGGATAATAAACCATCCAATGGCAGTACAGTGGTGCCTCACTTAACGATTACCTTGTTAAACAACAAATCTGCTTTACAATGAAGTTTTTGCAATTGCTATATTGCGATTACAAAATGATGTTCCTATGGGGAAAATTCGCTTCACGATGATCGGTCCCCTGCTTCGGGAACCGATTTTTCGCTAGATGATGATTTTAAAACAGCTGATCGGCGGCTCTAAAATGGCTCCCCGCTGTGCTTTAGGACGGATTCCTTGCTTTACAGGCACCGGAAAATGGCCGCCCTATGGAGGATCTTCTCAAAATGAGCAGGTATTTCAGCCATTGGAATGCATTGAACCGATTTTCAATGCATTTCAATGGGTTTTTTAAATTTTGCTTCACGAGGATTTCGCTTAACAGCAATTTGAACGGAACCAATTATCCTCATCAAGCGAGGCACCACTGAACTTACAACTTCACAGATTCTTTAGAACTGTCACGCTGGAAATAACCCCCCGAGGATCAAGGACACCAATCCTCTGCTCAAGCCCAGCCGAAATCATCAGTTGAAGGTAAGGACAGTTCTCTTTTACTTACCATGTCTTAAACCCCATATCTAAACCCCAGACGTAAGCTGTACCTCTTTTAAACCACATCTTAGTATCCTGCTTTAAGTATTATCAATGACCACCTACCTGTACAGATCTTGAACAGTTATCTTCTGGGATTATAACTCTCAGAAGCCACCAGCTAACTGGATTTTGGCTGGGAGATTCTGGGGCTTATAGTCAAGAAGAGTGATTTCCAAGCTCTGCACCTATATATATGGTAGGTGCAGAGCCCTATATATACATAGGGCTCTGCACCTACCATATATATAGGTGCAGAGCTTGGAAATCACTCTTCTCGACTATAAGCCCCAGAATCTCCCAGCCAAAATCCTATATATATATATATATAGGTCAACAGATGCATTTGCATATGGCTGCAGTTTCCTCCATGGTTCCTGGACACCTGAGGCTTTTCTGCAGTGCTTCTTAGAAGTTAAACGCTTTAAGAAGGAGCCAGAGAAACATCCCAGGAAGGATGAAGTCCGTTACCTGGTCAAGGATGTAGTTACGTTTCTTCCGGGCTGCGATTTGGATTAGGCGGTTCAGGCACTGTGTCGCTTGCTGGATGAGGACGTCCCACCGGCCAGCATAGTTGCGCTGGCGTCGGAGTCCCATGACCTGGGAGAAGGCAGGATCAGGTTAGGATAGCATTTACCCCTCTGGTGACTGGCCTGAAGCAGGCGTTATTTTCCACTGTGCAGGCTGGAAAAGAAGGGCTTGAAAATGACTCTGGAAAGTCCCCATCAAACAACGGGGGACAACAACCCTCAGCATCAACAGAGCACATTGCAAGGGCTATGTAAACTTTATGCATGCATCCTTTGTAACCCTTAAGATATCCCCGCAGCAAATGAAGTTCTGTAGTAGAAAGAGAAAGCCAGGGCAATACAGGGGGTGGGTGTGCCTAAAATCTGGCCCCGCTCAGCCTCTGAAATCATCTCTTACCCTCATTTTGTCCATGATGGCATTTGTTCCCAGAATATTGTACTTCTTGCCTGGATTGGCGGCAGCGTGCTTAATGGCCCAGGTTGTCTTCCCTGCAGCAGGCAGCCCTACCATCATCAGGATCTGAAATATATAGCTATCGCATCAGCATCTGTTCTGCACAGGTGAAGCACCCAAGCCAGCCGCGTGTGACACTCTGGTTTCTTGCACACAGGCCCAAAAGAGCTTTAACAAACATTTCCCCCCTCTCAAGAGAGATGATTTTGCAAACGTAGCTTGCTCTAAAAAATGGACGACGACAACGTCTCTTCCAACCTGTGCGTGAGATTTTAACTCCCCTATTCATTTTTCTTCCTTCAATTTAGAGCAGATATAACTTTTCTGGGAAGATCCGATTTAAACCAAACTGACTTAAATCATGATTTAAACTTTAAAATTGAATTTAAAAAAAAACACAATTAATTTTTTTAAGCAAATTAAATTTAAATTGTAATTTAAATCATTTTTAAAAGTAAATCCTTGATCCTCAACACAAGCAGGACGAGCAGAGACTAACACTCGGAATCTCTTGTTAGTCAGCCTCCCAAACTCCTTACAGCTCAGGTTCAACTTCAAGTTTCATACAACACTACATTCAAAGGGGAAAACATCTCTTGAGATGGGTCTGCCCCCCTGAGCACTACGGACCCACAACATGAGTAACCCCCGTGGGAAAAAAAAACCCACCAAAAACCCAAACCACCAGCACCCTAGTGATCAGAACAGCTGCTGCCTCCGTTTCTGAGATGCTTACTTCACATTCTGACTTGCTCTTTGGTCCGATAGTCCCGCGCACCCGCTCCGAGAGTGGAAGATGCTGGATGAAGGTGAACCCCGGGGGGACGGGGAAGTAAGCATCCTCCCTCTGCCCGAAATTGAACTCGATGGCACAGTTCTTCACCAGGACGTGAGGGAAGAGCGCCTGGCCGCCCAAGAGGTCTTTCCGCACCCGGTACGCCAAACCCAGCCATTTCCCGTTCTTCATGAAGGACATTTCGACATCATCGCCACATTCAAAGTCCTAAGAACGGGGGGTGGGGGGGGCAGCTGTTAGTCAGTGTGTGGCAGCTGGAAGAGGGAACTACAGCAACCTCACACACCCCACCGACTGGCCCGGGGCCTTAAGGGTTGTTGTTTCGCCTTAGACTAAGCATTCGCCCCCGTGCAAATGATACCGGCCTTCCCTGTTACTATGCATCACCATTTGGATTTAATCCAACGGTTTGTTTCCAACTAGAGCAGACCTACTGCTGAACGGGGGGCAAGGGGGGGGGAATGCTCAATTCAATCCCACTGATTCAATGTACCTCCTCCAGCTGGAACTATCAATGGCAGTAAGGTCACAGATTTTAAACGGAAGCCTAGAAACCTGCACACAAGAAGAGAGAACAGCAGTGTCCCAAAACACAAGAACACACACACTCACCACAAGGCAGGTGATGACGTCGTTCTCAGAAAAGGGTTCCCCGTAATTTTCAAACTTGCAATTGGTGGATTTCTTCCCGGTGCCGCCGTAGCCGTAGGAGAAAAGCTCCTCACCTAAAATGAAGAAGAACCAGAGGCTTGAACATTAAGTGGTAACTGGAAGTGCTTTTCATCCGCTTAAGACGATACACACACTGTGACCCTCCCTGGACAGAGGGAGCCTTGCTACAGTCACACCCACCCTAGTAATCTCTCCCTGTGATGATTAAAACATGTTATATGTGTTCTCCCCGAAGGTAGTCACTCTGGTGCCCGTGTTACAGTTTTTCTAGATTTAGGAACAAACAAAGATCCTACATGTGAGCAGGAATGTGCTGGTCATTACCCTATAAAGCTCTAAATGGCTTAGGTTCAGGTTATCTGACTTTGTAGGAGTCTTCTCAGCTTCCAAGCTCTCCCAAGAGGCCCTTCTCTGGGTTCCACCACTTTCCCAAGCTTCTTTGGCGAGGACACGAGAGAGGGCCTTCTCGGTGGCTGCTCCCAGGCTTTGGAATGCATTGCCCCAAGAAGCCTGGCTGGCCCCCTCCCTCTTCTCCTTCTGTTGCCAGGCAAAGACCTCCCTCTTCAGGCAGGCCTTTTAGCAATACGTTATATCAGAAATGCTAGATTTTAACTTACGGGTTTTAAATGGTTTTTAACCTTGACTGTTTTAATTTTAATGTATGTTTAATTTTTTGTGTTTTTTTTTAATTGTGATGTTTATATAGTGCTTTGACATTTCTGTTTTGCCCGTTGTGAGCCACATCCTGCTATTACTAAAACACAACATCTCTGCAGGGTTAATTTATTTATTTAAAATTTTTTTACCCTGCCTTTCTCCTGGAAAAGGACCCAAGGTGGCTTAACAACAATGAAAAACGATACTTAAAGTTGAGAACAAGCATACAATGATGGCAAACATTAAAAAACAATATTTAAAGCTAAGAACAATGAGTAAAAAGAGACAGCTTACAACATTAAAAAAATATTAAAATTATGAACAAACAAAAGTATACAAATAATAAAAGAAAACACATGCCACTCTTGAGAAATGGAAAAGACAAAAAAGAAAGACACAAGTAGTGCTAAAAATCCAGTCAAAGCAGTAATGCATGACAATCCATCTAAAAATCTCACACAGGTAGTTAGTTACTGAGCGAAAGCTTTGCCTGCTTGCAGAATCCAGTTTAACCCGGAAGGAGTCCTGTTTCAAAAATGAAATCGAGAGTCTAAATATTCTAGAACCCACTCAAGACAGCCTCAGGCGCCACCTTAGAAGGGACCGTCACCTTGCTTGTAGGGCCAGGGCAGAAGGAGGCATGGTCTTCTAAGATAGCACCATCCACCTGTAGATTTTGCATGTACCTTTATGAAAAATAGTTCACCATGTTTTAAATCCTGCTGTGCAGTTAACTGCAGGCACCTTTTAATCCATTTGTGTAGCCCACTGGCATTAGAGTCAGGCACGTGGCTTAGACTCTCCCCAGATTCAGCTGCCAAAGTGCTTCGTACCTAACTGGGTGCTGCATGAATCCAACGACCAGCCGATACGGACGACGTGAGGATCAGGTTCCGTGGGAGGAAGGTGCTTGACGGCGATCTCTTCATTGACCTCGGGACAAAAGGATAAGCATCCAGTCAACAGAGATCTGGAAGCCAAGACGTCTAGTCCAGGAGCAATCGTGGAGTTCTAAGGACCTGGAGTTTATTGTGTCTTATGGATAGCGCGGGCCAAGACAACAGCCCTAAAAAGGTACACAGGTTTTGGAACTAACTAAAGAGGACAAGGTCTGAGCAAAGACTAACTTTAAGTTAACGGGAACTTTGACCGGACTCAAATTTGGAATAAGAGGCATGCACAGAATCAAGCAACAAGCACCCCTGTGCCAGTGACACAAGCATCTCTTACACAAGGGCATTGGCACCCTCAAGCCTGCCCTCCTTCACACCGATCTTGAAAGAACGTTTCCCTCCTTCTCAAACTTCTATGGGGAATAATCATGCCCCTCCTTACCTTCATCTCGTAGCAGATCCTTCCCCGCCGCACCCCATAGGTGGCTCTTGCTCCCGACCAGAGGTAAGCAAACCCTTCTATAGTCAAAGGGTAGCCGCTGAATCGATCACGGGCCACTTTGAAATGTAAATCACAATTATCTGGAAGGCAAGGTAAAGGAAGAGGTGAGAGGAAGCCAGAGGAACAACAAACCTCCGGACAGTAAAAACCTTATGCATAAGCTTTGGGGTTCAGTGAAATATGACCAAAAATCCAGGCAAGTCGTCATCTAAGTCCCAAACACTTAAAACATTAAGAGCTTTTTCACAAAGCTCACACAAACACCTTGTGGCACATTGTCCTGCAGCCCTTTTTAATATATCAACAGGATCAGCTCTGCACTTACAGGATGTTACGTTTAGGAATGGTGTCATTTCAAGCCAGAAGTCCTAGGCTAAACAGCCCGACCCCATGCAAGGATCAGCCCTATCAGGCTAATCATTTGGAAGACTTCACCTCAGCGCTGCTGCATCCACCCTTTTCTGTGTGTTGCTACTACCTGGCCAGCCAAAAGCCAAGCACCGTTCTGACCTTGAGGCTACTAGCCTTCTATATATAGAAGGGGAACTTTACCCCTGAAGGATAGAGCAACAGAGGAGGAAATCAACCCAATCCTGAGACACGCCTCTCTATTTACAGTGCAGGTTAACAAGGTCGGATAAGAAAGAGGCTGCTGATGGGATTCACAAAACTCACAGGTATCAAGGGCCACCAGAGAGTCATCAAAATCGTCCTCGTCATCTTCAGCAGGCGGCTGAGGAGAGCGTCCCCTAGAAAAAGGACGACAGATGCAAGACCCATAGAACAAGATCACCATCATGCAAAGCAAGCTGACAAAGCCCGAGCACCAGGAAACATGCAGACATCACTCAATGGGCTGGTGGAAATCGCCTGCTTCTCTCATTGAATTCACAGAACTGATTTTCCCGTTATGGCTGCCTGCAATCAAAAGCTGGAGTGTATATAGACGGTACCCTTTGTAAATCACTTCAATCCACAGTGATTCACTCTGCCTTTCCAAGACACAAGCAAGGCACCAACGCTCTCATACAAGAACAAACAACAGCAAACATTTCCTCAAAGAACTTGCCTGGAACGTACCTTTTATCCTCGCGATGTTCGTAATATCCGCGGCCCCGGGACTCCTCAAATGGCCTCTTACGACCCTGTTGTTGTTGCTGCTGCTGCTGCCAGGAATGAGATGAATCAGAGGTGCCATAACTGGAGGGAGGTGCGTTGTAAGTTGAGCCACTGTAGCCAGAACTGGAACTGTTGTTAGGGGAGGGTCCTGTGTAGTCAGAGGGAGGGGCATTATAACCCCGGGCTGGCATGTTGTAGCCAGAGGGAGGCATGTTGTAGCCAGGGGCCAGTTCCTCTTCTTTAAATTCTGACTTCATTTCTGCACTCAACGAGAACACAACAGACAAAAATGAACAATGGAAGTCTGCACACCTTTAAGGCCACACCTTAAAGCCATGTAACTGCTACAACTTCATTATGAGAATCAGCACCCTAATCAGAGGTGGGCATTCCTGCAGATGCTGCTGAACTGTATCATGCACACAAGGCTGGACGGAAGCTGCAGTCCAATATCAGCAGGAGGGTTACACCTTTTCCAGCCCTGCCTTAACCCCTGAAGAACTCCTACTTAAATCACAATTTTTCAAACAGCCAGTTTCTGACACAGCACACCTTTAATGCGGACATGATCCTCCAACATATGAGCTTAGAAGGAATCTTGCTATCATGGGGACTAAAAGTGCTGAGTATGTATAAATATCCAGTCCTTAGCATTTTCCCCCCAGTGCTGTGTTCTTCTAATTTCATCACCACAGAACACAGACCATGAGATATAAATAACCCAATTAAAGTGTGGGCAAGCAGACAGGACACTTGCTCAGTTATGACTGAATTCTGTGGGGTGAAATCAATAGATTGGAATCTATAGCACCGCTGAAGAGGAGAATCGACCCCTTACCAGAACAATGGACTTAACAAGGGGCAACTAAAGCCCCACTACAAATGGTATCTGAGCAAAGCCTTCTGCTTTTATCCAGCGTAAACAAATGGCTATCCGAATCCACCCATCTGGCAGCAGGTGGGTAACAGCAGTGAGTGACCCAGATTGCACTGACGGGGACGCCGCGGGAAGACTCTGAATGGAGAAGCTATGTCACTAACATGGGATCTTAACAATGGATTGACTCTCCACGCATGACTCTCACGCTACAAGTTTGTGCATTCCTGCAGTAATAAAACAAAAGCTGCTTTGGGGGAGCTCCCCTCTTGCCAGTCCAGAGAAGTAGATGAATTTCAGCTTGCTAGCAGAAAAACACAAAAGCACGGCTATTCAGGTATGTGTACCAAACCAATATCAAGCGAAGAAGGCTGATTATTTTAAGCTCCTGATTGTACCTGAACGTAAGCCAGAATGATCTCGGTCTAGAGGCACTCTCTCGTATCCAGATTCACTCTCCTGTTTAATGTCGCAATGCTCGAAAGACTGATATCCCTGCATGTCGTCCTGATGAGCGTTGTCGTGGATGCCATCTTGAAACAGGAAACGGAAACATGAATCAGTGTCACTATTCTATCCCATATCCTACTGGGAAGGGATTTTTTTTGGTACAATCTCCCATTTCTTAACTGCTACAGGTATCCTGTGATGACCGAAAGGCGCAGCTCTGCCCTTAAGGCCAACCAGCAACTAGGTCAGAGTCTTAGTTCATGTCTTCAGCAAGATAAAGCAGCCAAAGTCTCTCACATACACACCCCAAGCAGTATATAATCTTTGCATTGATGAGTGGATGCTTGAAAGCTCTTCTCAGCAGACAAGGTTATGGCATGTAGCATGTAAGAATGTCAAGGAGACAGTCAACCAACCCTTTTTCTCCCCATGATCTTTCTCTACATATTGGAAAGGTTGTCTTGCCCACCACAGTCAACGAAAGCCTCTCCACTTTGTTAGGTCAAATATAAAAGTTGCCAAGAACCAGCACAGGAAAGCAAACGGATGTTGCCTATCAGTCAAAATCCAAAGAAACAAAACAAAAACATGGGGCACCTTAAAGACTATAATGTAAGCTTTTGTGGATGCATGCATGTTATCTACACTTACAGAACGAGGCTTTATACAGAAGATGTTTCATATTTTAAAGTCAGTGAACAAAAATCTTCCCATCTAAGCCACTCTGAATGCAGAATGGGTAAGCACTTTACATTCAGAGGATAGCCACACTTTGTTTAACTATTACCATACCCAGAACAATAAACTGTTGAACTTCTTTTTAAAAAGAATTCAAACCATGAGGGCCCACACCAACACCACCAAGATTATACCAACTGGGTTTGGGGGTCCCACCTGCCCTGAAGTCTCAATTCCATTCCATTTCAAACTACCATCTAAAGTGGCTACACTACATGGTGAAAGAAGTGTGTTTTGCTTCAAACAGAAGATCATCCTGAATGCTCAGAAACAATGAAAAGCCAGCTTAAGCAAGGATAGCAGAAGGTCTCAGAAGCAGAGCAACGCTTGATGGATGAATAGCTGTATGAAAAGACTCCATGGTTCACTTAAGGGGCTGCTGGATAGCTCAGAGGTTTATCCGTCTTTGGCTGCAGAGGGAGAGGCTGGGAGTTCAGTTCCCCACTGCGCTTCCTTGACAAGGGCTGGACCCGACGATCCACAGGATATCTTTCCAGCCCAGATTCTCAAGACAGCATTCACAAGTCACAGGCATAAACACCAGCTGGCACTCCTAAGCGGAAATCACACCACAGATTTCAGAAAATAACAAGTCAATGCAAAGATCGAAAGTGACGAGGTCCTGAGAAAGGGTGTTTGCAAACAGCATAGCAGGAGCAAGCCCTCGTGAATCTGGTATGTTACGTAAGACCAGATCAGTAAAGAAGATGAAAAAGAGGACTCAGGAAAAACACAAGCGCTCCCTTTCCAGCACCACCATTACTAGAAACAACCAGAGTTTGCCCAGTTCACTAAATAGTACGTTTCAACTATTCTGAGGTATGTTGCTCTGACATGCCTTCCCAAACCACGTGGCATATTTATCTTAGGAAAGCCTTTGGGAAATACAAGGAAGGCTAGAGAAGCTGTACGTGAACTGGGCGCCCATATTCCAGCATCCCCTGCCACCTCTCCTGGGAAATATGGCTCCCGCACACTAATTATTCCTCAGTACAGGGTCTCATCTGGATACAGGGACTCATCTGAGGTGCCCCCAAGAAAAGGACGCCGGACGCTCACCACCTGGAATGGCACCAAGCAGCAGGCTCTTTTTTAATCAAATGAATTTATTGTCTTTGTAAGTATATACAGTACATAGTACAGTATGCCCATACAACGAAATTCACACAGACACCTAGAGACCAGACCCCATATGCACACACAAGCAAATGCACATGTGTGTGTATGTGTGCATGCTTTCCCGAAGCTTGTGGCTCCTCCAGTAGGTCCTGCAAAGGGGGAAAAAAAAAGACCCTCCATCCTTCAGCCAGGAGCTGTGGGGCTCAGCCACAGAGGGGCCAGTGATGCCTCCCTAGGTGAGGAGGGGCCCCCCACGGACAGCCACCTAGGCAGTGGTTCCCCAACCTTGGGCCTCCAGATGTTCTTGTACTACAACTCCCAGAAGCCTTCACCACTGCCTCTGCTGGCCAGGATTTCTGGGAGTTGAAGTCCAAGAACATCTGGAGGCCCAAGGTTGGGGAACCACTGACCTAGAGGATCTTGGCCTGCAACCCTCCTCTAGGTTGGGGTGAGGGGGGAATTATTTCTCCACAATTAGGATTTCCCTGCATTGGCAATTGTGTGTGTGTGTGTGGGGGGGGTTGGCCTGAATGACCTTTAGGGCACCCATTCCAGGTTTGATTCTAAGACCCTTCCAGCTCTGCAGTTCTAAGGCCACGATGATGACGAGGGTCGCCCACCGCTTGGGACGGCCTGGCTAAGGAGGACGGGAGGTGTAGTCCGACCCCCACCTGGGCACCTGTAGCCCGTCATTCGGGCGGAATCAAGCCGATTATTGGGGGGGGGGTCGAAAGCCTTTCTGGGAACGTGTCGGAGGGATCCTGTGGGTCCCCGCCCCCCCCCCCCTCTCTCTCTCTCTCTCCCCATCCCACACCCCGAGGCCCACGGCCCGTCCCGGAGGGTCCTGCCCTGCCCTGCCCTGCCCTGCCCACTTACAGCGCCTGTCCGGCCCTTCTCCGCGGCGGCCCTGCTCCGCTTCGAGGGCCGCTTGCAGCCGCTCGGCCAGCTCGGCCTTCAGCCCTCGGGTGTCGAGGCCGCGCCGGCCCAGCTCTTCCTTCAGCTCGTTGACCCGCAGCCGCCTCACGTCCATGGCCCGCTCAAGCCCCGCCGCCGCAGCAGCATCGCCTTCCTCCCGCCATGGAGGCGCCCGTTCCGGCTCAAAATGGCCGCCTTCGCCCTCCTCCTCCTCCCCTCTCCCCGGCCCCGCACTCCTTGCCACGGCCTCGCCGGTTGGTCAGCCGCCGGGGATGGGAATGTCACGCGCCCTCTGATTGGGTCCCCACGAGGGCCCTCCTTCCGAGGCTTCCCTTCTCCCGCTCGTTCCCCGAACTGCGAAATCCGCTCTCGCATTGGAGGAAGAGAAAGGTCAATCTACAAATAATTTTTTTTCATTGGCTAAACTCGGCTCCTTCTTTTTCCCCGCCTACATTACTTCAGGCGACATGGGTTAAGGAAAGAGAGGCGGGGGAAAAAGAAGTGATTGACAGCCAAACGAGGCTGGAACGCCCAATCGGAAGTCAGCATTTTTTCTAACGAACCATTGGTTGACAGATGGGTTTATTTGTTTCTAGAGGGATTTTCCCCCTCGCTTTCCTATTGGCTGAAATTACCTTTCATCATCATCATCATCATCATCATCATCATCATCATCATCATCATCATCATCATTTATTTATTTAATTTATATGCCGCCCACACTACCCAAAGGTCTCTGGGTGGCTTACAACATTTAAAATACATTAAAAATTCAGAACAATTATAATACGGTTTTGCAAGCCAAGATTTATCGCAGCATTGACAAGACGAGCTGCCCTTCAGATGAATAATTACATTTTTGGATGTGTTATTTCCCTTCCACCCCACAGAAAAAGAAAATAAAATTGAGAGGACTATTACAGATTTGTAATTTAGTACTACAACTCCCATGATGCATAGTCTGAGGCATTCTGGGAGTTGTAGTCCAGAGGCACCTGCACCACCTCTGGCATAAACGGTGTGGTCAGATTTTGAGATCTCCAGATGTCAGAAACTGACAGGCTAACAACTTTGGCTTCAACTTTTGAGATGCCGGCTGCAGTCTGTAACAGTTGGCGCCCAGTGGTGTGGGAACGAAATTAGAACTCCAGCTGTTGATCTTGACAATCTTTGTAGCCAGCGGATCCTCCCAAGGGTCCAAAAAATACAGGAAGTTGGATGGGATCATACCGACGAAGAAGGAGCTGGCCTTTTGTAAAGCTAATGGCTCTTAACTGCTAATTGAAAACCAAGCCGCTCTAAAAATGTTTCGGGTTACAGCAGGGGTAACTTGCCGTTTAAGAATATCCTTAGGAAAATAAACTCCTTTCCTAGCTACTATGAAGTTTGCAATGAAGCTCACAGGGAACAGATTGGCACACAATGCCATTATCCTAGTTCTTTTCAGGCTCTCTCAGCTTCACTCAAATCCTACCTTCCCCACTTAGGTTTAAATTTCTGCTTTCGGCACACTGAGATCCTAATGACTTTTCTCTCTGCTCGGCTTTTCGGCACTGCGAATGGAGGGGGTGAGGCTGATAGTTTCCATTAGTCAACTATGGAGAGGACCGATATAGCGAAACGTCCTCTCCAGCGATCCCCCAAACAAGATCATTGTCCCCTGTTTCATTATGCCAGCGTGGCTTAGTAAGCTTTGGTGTAAAGAACTGGCATATCTCTTAAATGCAGATAAACTAACTTGCCCAGCTTTCTCCAACCTGTTGCCTTCCAGATGTTCTGAACTACAATATCCATCATCCCCCAGCCGGTCCTTCTCTCTGAAACAGAGGCCCAGTCAGTGGTGAAAGCTCTGAAGTCCACTGTCCATCTCTGTCTCTAAAGAGATGAAAATATAACAACACCTCCCCAGAACAATGCAAGGCTGGGTGGAGATTTGAATTGTGTTCTCCACAATCTGAGCTTGACGCTTTCAGGACCAAAGACAGGAGCCCCTGTGGTTCTCCAGATGTTCTTGGATGACATGTCCCATGATGGATCAGCATTGCTTAACCAGGCAGAAACATCTGGAGGGCTGCACCTTCTCTGTCCCGCCGGCCACCTCCCCCCATATAATGCAATATCTAAAATTATCTGCTTCCGTTTACGCCAAGAACTGACTTATGAATCAGGTGCCTGCAAGTGCAAGACGAAATCTCTGGCCAGCAGAGGGTAGCTGCGTCCTTTCCAGACCAGAAATGAAAGCAGTTTTCAGCCCGGTTTCACGTCTCTTCTAGAAAAGTCTCACCGGAGATTAGAGATGTAAAATTTCCAAAAAATTTCCCTTTCTGGGGAAAAAAAAATCTTCTGGCTCCACAGCCCGATGCCTTAAACCACTGAGCTACCCAGCCTACTTGAACTCTTGAACTTTGGACCCATGGTCAAGTTGTGATGGAGGTGGCGGTTGTTTGCATCTCTTCCTTCTTTGTGCCTAAAACGTTTGTGACCAGGATGTGATTCTATTTTTTTTAACAATAAAAGGGGTGCAAAAGGGAGGCAAACCGGTTTCCTCTCTGCCTTACCTCATCAAATTTCAGGACCTCCATTTTTGTCCCAACCGAGTGGGCTCCAGCACTAGAAACGGCCAGACTATGAGGCAAAAAACCCGCCGGAAGTGAGGAGAAATGTATTAAGAGAACTGGTGTCTCCAGCTTCCTTCACTCGCTTTTATTGCAGAAAAATTCTCTTTTCTCCGTTTTAATGGAATAACAAAAAACATGTCTTATTCAACCAAAATGTCAACAGCATTTGGAAAGTTGTGGGCGGAAGAGTGGCTGAGCTGGTGGAGCCGAAGCTGAAGGATTCTGTCCGTTGTTCTCCAGAAACATCCAGGGAGCCAAAAATTCTTCCACTTGTGCCCCAAAATAGCATAAAAGGTTGACTAAACCTTCATGCTGAAAGCCTTTTGGATCGGTTGTTTGGACAAAGCTTCAAACTTGGGACAAGTTTCTACTTTTTTTTTTTTTGCAAAACAGGTTTTCGGACACCCCATCCTGCTTCACTAACCCAGGAGCAAAAAGCACGTTTATATACGGTCGCGGACTGCCCGCCTTTTCTTGGTTCCCTCCGTCTCCCTTGTTTTCATTCTTTCTGGACCACCCTCTTTTCCAACCCATTGACCCCGCGTCCACTCAAGAGACAGAGAAGCGTTTGTGAGGAGGGGAGTCCGCCTGTCCCTATCCACTGCTAAAGAACTTAATCTGTCGCTGCCCTAGATGAAGAGAGAAATGCTCGGGGTGAGGTAGGATGCGCCCTTCAATGGCCCGCCTTGTTCTCTCTTACTCAGTCGGATGAAAAGATCAACAGTTCGAGCAGGCGGACCCTGAATGTGGCTTTTGATTCGGGTCCTTCATCTGCCTGGCAAGGGGTGGAGGCACAGCGTGGCCCTCTGTCCACCACTCCGGGGTTGGCTTCTGCTCACAAACAACCCATTAAAACCATATTGTTGGTTTCAGATCATGAGTAAGAACCAACTCAAGGGATGGGACAGAATGGCAACCATCGCGTGAGTGACCGTTAGTCCTGTTGGCTCATACACACACACCCATTTCTTTCCAAGGCCTGTTTTCGGTGTCATCCTGATAGCTTTGCAAGAGGAGGAAGACTTGGATGCCAGCTCTGCACCGACTGGAAGGAGAACAAACCTATCCGTTCTGAAGGAAATCAACCCTGAGTGCTCACTGGAAGGACAGATCCTGAAGCTGAGGCTCCAATACTTTGGCCATCTCATGAGAAGAGAAGACTCCCTGGAAAAGACCCTGATGTTGGGAAAGTGTGAAGGCAAGAGGAGAAGGGGACGACAGAGGACGAGATGGTTGGACAATGTCATCGAAGCGACCAACATGAATTTGACCCAACTCCGGGAGGCAGTGGAAGACAGGAGGGCCGGGCGTGCTCTGGTCCATGGGGCCACGACGAGTTGGACACGACTTAACGACTAAACACCAACAAAGAACGAAGAAGGCCAGCCTTAGAATTCCTGCCCTAAAAGAAAGAGGTTATGAGGGCCATCTTTGACTTTGGCTTGATTGTACTGTGAGGCAAGCTTCTGCAAGAGGCTGTGCATGGACAGAGTCCTCCTGTTTGTGTCTCCCATCCCCAAAAAACCCTCAGGAGGAAAACCACACGCTGGGAGGCCTGCATGCTGCCATCCAGCCAGAGTGTGTGACCCAGAACAGCCTCAAGATCAAACCACCAGGGAAATTTTGGGATGGTATATTTTGGACATCAGACACAGGTCACAAATTCGGTCACCTGAAATGGGGGCCCTCAAGATATAACGTCTACAGGCCAGCTGGCCTTTGATTGTTTCATAATAGTGGAACCACGGGCACTGGCCAATAGGTACCAACATCAGGCCTGATATTATACTCCACGCAGCGTTGCATGAAGTTTGAGCTGCTGGTGAAGGTGTTACCATTTTCTGTTCTCTGACAAAACCTGTTTGCTGAGGTGTGTGGTTTTCTTGGAAGACACATGTTACTATCTTGTCTTGTTTTGGAGACCACGTGACAGCCTTCTGATGTGGCCCGCAGCTGAGATATATCACAGAACACATCTGGAGGGCACCGGATGGAAAAAAAGAGGTTGCAACGGAACATTGGAGTAACAGCACCGCAGATTATTGCATCTGGAAATTATTTCAACTGGCAGTGCCAGAAGGTTAAATTTGGGATCCCGTTCAAGCAATGAACACTTTCCACCATCACTGGAATTAACTCTTGTCCCAGATTTTTTTTTCATTTTTTTAAAAGGAAGTTTTTATTTATAAGCAAAATAGATCACACAGCATTTTTTTCTTTCTCGCTCCAAAAAAACCCCATCCTTCTTGCCCTGAGAGGGAAATGTGTTTTTGTACAAAAGTAAGGGAGTGGGAAAACATTTCATACAAAGCATTTTAATTTCTCTTAGTTTTTTTTAAAAAAAGTATATACATTTATAATTATATTTATATATATTTATATATATAAAAACATTGCATTAAAAAAAGAATCTGTAGGAAAATCAAACAGCGGATTGTTCTGCAGACTCCCTAACATGGCGAACAGAAAGAAACAGCTTTTGATTTGAATATACCAGCACTTGAGGGCCCTTGTCAGAGAAGGTCTTTTTGGGGGCAAGAGAATTCTTAAGGAAAATGCTGGTTTTCCAGCTTTTTCCTCACATGATCCGAAAGGGAAACAGATGTGATTGATGCATTTCATTTAAGCAGAATGGGAAACGTGTTTTTTTTTTTTGTACCTGAAACAGAGTGACTGAAAACCGGGTTCTGAAGACGAGGCATTTCTCGTGAAAGAAGTGGGACCAAATCTATATTCTCCGGACAAGTTCAGGAAAGTTGGTAGCCAACGGTTTTGGCTTGAGGGCCTACAAGTTAAAGCCTTGGCAAGAGACCACAAGTTAGAAAGCCTATCTGCTAGCTACTGTAAGGTTTGCAAAAGTTACTTTAAAAAAAAAGAGAGAGCAACGCTTGCAAAAACTCCACTGTAAAGCAGAGCAGGTGGGGAAGCGGTACTGAACCCTCTCCATCTCCTGCCCTGATCTTTCCAACCAGGTTCGAAGTCCTCAGGGACTTCCAACTCAAAAGCCAACAACCAGGCAAAGAGAGTCCATTTCAGAGGGAGAAACAGCCTGAGATAGACAAGAATAAGTCCCTACCTCCTTGCCCGCCTTTTGACATTGCCCTCTCCTTTTGGCAGCAACACAGCGCTAAGGCGCAGATCACGTTATATCAAAGCAGGGCCAAAGCCCACAGAGGCCAAGACACGAGAGTCGCTCCCAACAACATTACAGAAGTCTGATGCTTTCAGCAGATCTCAGTCTTCGGGATGCAGAAGTGAGAGAGAAGTGAAGTCGGGTTGCGGGCCATGCAATAAGGCCACTGGCCTCCTCCTTTTGTTTAGGTGGATTACCTTTGCTGGCGGTGCCACTTTTAGCATCTGTGCAAGAACGGTGGCTATCCGTGAATCAGGATATTTAAGGAGGCACAAAAGCACATGTTAAAATACATAAAAATATTCATTGCATAGATTTATTTCTCCTACGGAATGAACCCAAGTCTCATCTCATAAGAAGAGTTAAGGAATACGCACAAAGTTTTCAAAATATATGCTTGTCTCATCTAATGCCAATGGCAGTGATTGTGCTTCCGTGAATCTAATTTAGGAGAGAAAAATAGTGAGCGCTGCCTGCAAATTTCTTTGATTTGGTATTTTTTTTTTGGCACTTATTCATGGCTGGACATCTCCAAAGCTTGCAGTGGCTTTTACGTAGATTGGGCGTTCTTACCAAGTGCTGCTGGTGCAAAGGAGAGGAATGTCATATGGACGATGAAGAACAAATCAGCAACACGTGTGCCTTTGTGGTGCGAAAGGAAAGGAAATCACTGTGTGGGAAGACGTTTCGTGTACGGCTGGAACTAGCCATTAGGTTCTGCAGGTTTTTCTGTTGTTCCATCGTTGCTCCTGATTAAACAGGTGTGGCAGGTTCAAAAAAAGATAAACCTGCAAAGCCTATTTAATCTGAAGTGAAAGCAGAGTGAATACACAGACAGGGGGGAAAAAACACGGTGAAGTGTTTCCAGAGCCACACTACTTTGAACGGACAAAATGGAATGGAAGAAAGATTTAATCAATTTGCCACCTCTCTGTCTGGGCATCTCATTGCTGGAGGGATGTGACTAATAGTTCAACCAGTTCCAGTCTGTCTTCAGTTTAGAAGGAGGAACTGCTGTCATGGTGTGAAGATTATTGTAAATAACTCCATGTGTGACAGATGCAGTCAATATGCTGTGAAGGTGCACAATCTATGAAGGGTCATAAAATCAGTAGGGGCCGTACTTAGCTCTAAAAGAAGAAATCACCTTTTTTGAGGTGGGTCTCCCTTGAAAAGGGGGCTTAACAGAGTTCTGGTGCAAAATGTGGATTTGTTTTTAATAATAATAAAAGGAGAACACTCACAGCTGTTTCTGTTCTACACAACTTGTGTTCGTCTCAGTGAGAGTGGCACGAGATGCTCGTGCAAGTCCCACCAAAATGTGGAAGGTGGCTCAAAAAGAATCCTAAAGGCGTTGAAGGTATTGTGGCCATTATGACTGTGCTGGGTCATCACTGTTTCGCTTTAGACCTCTGGAAAATTCAGGAGGTTTGTGGGAGGCTGTCGACTCCAGTGTGAGGAGGAGGGGGGGGGCGAAGGCAAATCCGCTCTGGGTTTTCATCCAAACTTTGAAGCAGCCGCCCAAGGTGCAATAGAGAGGGTTTCAGCACCTCGGAGAGCTCCTGCAAAATTTGGACAACCTGCCCCCACCCCCAAAAGCAAGGGTCTATATGGCATCTGCAAGTGGGCATTCACTACAATGGGAGAAAAATGCCTCCTGTTGATCTCGTACCTGGTTGGAATGAGTAAAGATGCAGAGCCTTTGTCAGGAAGAAAGGTTTGGAGGAGGTAGGAGCCTTAACATTTACTGTACTGTTAGCTCTTATTAGTGGGAAGGCTTTGGGCTAGGTTTTTCTTCTCTAGATTGAAATATATTACCAAAAATGTTCCCCTTGGAAAAAATAAGAGAGATGCTTGAGTGCATTTTACTGCCCCGTGGCCCCTCTGAGGATGGCACATGGATATGGCTTCTGGCTCCTTCAGCAACCTTACCCACCCACCCGTTCCTGGGAGAATTCACAGCACAACCCACTGATGTCTAAAGAGGTGTCTTCGATAACCTGTTGAGTCTGACACCTCTCAGCTTTTGAACAGGGGTTGAGGAGAATCTAGTACTCCCCCCCTTGAACAGACGGGGTTAAAAGAATCTGCCAGGTGGAAACCTGAACTGGAGTCGCTCTGGAATCAGCTCTGAATGCCAAGGGTGGCTCCTGAGAAGCAGTAAAGAGAGATGCCCTCTGTGCATACACAGAATTCATTTCTCTTGCCATTGAACGGCCAGAGTCAGATTCTCCCAGCGGGGAATCGGGGTGAATATATAAGAGCCTCCTGGCACCTCTGAGGATGCCAGCATGAGGAGGGGCACGCTGGCAAAAGGAAGACAGTGCAAGAGACGTGGCAGTGAAACAGCTGGGAATTAAATGGGGCACAACTGCTTTCATTTGGCTATACAAGAAGCAGTTTCGAGGGTCATCATCCTTCCTTAAAAACCCCAAAGGGGGGGGGGAACCAACCCTGCTCCTGGGCCCTTAAAAGCAGCCGACCTCTTGTAAAAGGAGCAGGCAGAGCTCCCCCCCCTTCACAGCTCTGGGAAAGCTACACCCACTCAACAGATGCACATCTGTTAAAAATACGGGAGCAGGGCCACCCCATCATCCTCTCCCAAGTGGCAATCCTAGTAGCTTGTGAGCTGGGGGGGGTCACCAGCTAAACTTCAGTCGCAGATTTCGAGGGAAAGACAATGGAGGGAAAGAGTTTTCCCCTTCACATTCTCTTTGAGCTTCAAGATTCCTTTTTTTGGGGGGGGGACTACAACACCCAGAATCCTGGGAATCGAAGTCCAAAAAAGAGAGGAGAGGAACTGACCCGGGCGCTACCTTCCCCATGTCTCTCCCCTTGAGAACGTGTTCTTGCCTTCCCTCGGCGTTGGGGACCAGGGTGGCCGGATGGGGAAGGGTGGCCGGGAGTGCGATGGACGCTCAGCGCCAGCCATCCAAAACCCTTTTCCCCCTGGAAAGGAGGGTCAAGAGGGAAAAAGGGTCCCCTGGCCATACCAGGGAGGGGGGAAAGCAGGGTTTGTAAAAGGGAAAGCAGTGGTTCGTTACCAAAAAAAGGAGGAAGTTTCTCAGGGAAACCTCTTCCCCTCCACGAGAGGAACCTTCTAAATCCTAGGCCGGGGGGGGAAGGTCTAGTTGGTCACAACCGTTCCCTCTCTCGGCCAGAACTTCACCGTGTTCCCTTCACGCCCCTTCTTCCGTGGCGGCACAGCCAGGGGGCTCGGTCAGGAGCCGGCTGCTCTCGTGCGGGGTGGGGCACATCACGTAGCGCCCCACAGCCTGGGGTGGGTGAACCTCAGCGGCCGTCACCGTGGGCTTGAGCCCCTGGCCTTCCTTGCTCGGGGCTTCTTCGGGGCCCAGGCCGCCGACGGCGCCCAGCTCAGCCTCCCCGGCGGCTGGACCCTCGTCCATGTTGACGTAGAGGATCTCCTCGGGCTCCTTCGCCGGCGGGAGGGCCTTGAGGATCGTCTCCAGCTCCCGGTGCAGCACCTCAAAGCTGGGGCGGTCCCGTGGGTGGAGGGCCCAACAGCTCAGCATCAGCTCGTACCTGGGGGACCAAAAAGATGCGAAGGTGGATAAAGGAGAGAAATACAGTGGTGCCCTGCTTGACAACGACCCCGCTTGACAACGAAATCACTTGACGATGAGTTTTTTGTGATCAGTACAATGGTTCCTATGAGTTTTTTTCACTTTACGATGATTAGGTCCCTGTTTCGCGAACCGATTGTTTGCAAGACGACGATTAAAAACAGCTGATCGGCAGGTCGCAAAATGGCTCCCCGCTGTTTTCCGGACCTATTTTCACAAGACAGCGATCGAAAATGGCTTCCTCTATGGAGGATCTTCACTGGACGATGAGGTATTTCCCCCATTGGAACGCATTAACTGGTTTTCAATGCATTCCAATGGTTTTTTTGTTTTCGCTTGATGACGATTTCGCTTAACAGCGATTTTCCTGGAACGCATTATCGTCATCAAGTGGGGCACCACGGTACAGAATTAAACCAAATCATCGCAAAAGCAGCGAGAGACCGACATGCACTGAATGGAGGCCCCCCTCGGAAGCAGGGAGTCCACGGATCTTTTGTAATTCTTCCACATCTGCTCCAGATGGAGGGCAAAGAGGCTGGCCTTTCCCAACAAGAAAAGAGTATAAAAACATACAGTATGTAAAACTGCCCAGGACCTTGAAGACTGTAATAGGAAGGCTTCATTTGAGGTGTACGTACGGTGGACATGCACTGAATGGAGGCCCCCCTCGGAAGCAGGGAGTCCACGGATCTTTTGTAATTCTTCCACATCTGCTCCAGATGGAGGGCAAAGAGGCTGGCCTTTCCCAACAAGAAAAGAGTATAAAAACATACAGTATGTAAAACTGCCCAGGACCTTGAAGACTGTAATAGGAAGGCTTCATTTGAGGTGTACGTACGGTGGGTGGGAACCTTGAAGACTGTAATAGGAAGGCTTCATTTGGAGGTGTACATTTGAGTGGGAACCACCCTGGGGTCTCTGTTTCCATCTGTGCCCTTGTGAAATTAAAACATAACGTTGGAGCATGGGCAAAGTGCTTTTTCTTACCCACAGGGTCAACATCATCCACTCCCACATGTCCAAGAATACGAGATCCAACATGGTGCAGTAATTATGTGTGTTGGCCTGTGTACAAATTTCTCATCAGCATGAAATGTCCCTGCATCACCCTGAGCGTAGGATACTGTGAGGATAAATGGTGTGGATGTGTGCATCAGGAAGAAATCTGGATGCCTTGAGAGGAATGAATGAATGAATGAATGAATGAATGAATGAATGAATGAATGAATGAATGAATGAATGAATGAATGAATGAATGAATGAATGATGGGATAAGGACTGGGATACAAAGCGACTATGTATGATAAAATCATAAGAGCGTGGAAAGCAGGTGATGACTTTTCCCTCCACTATCCTAATATCAGTTGCTCAATAAATCTCACTAGTTGTCATTTTAGGAAGAGAGAAATAAGCGCTTCTGTCTTCACACATTTTAAAAAAATGAATTGGATGCTTCTGGAGAAACTAATGCCACTCCAGTTCTCAGAGAAGCAAACTTCTTCTTAGGGCTCATGTTAAATCCCTTGAATGTCACTCACTCAAACCAAATCAAATCAAAGGACCAAAACAGCCCCCCACCACTATCAGAATTTACTGATCCCTGGTGGGAAGGAGCGCCCTAGGTAGAAGTGGGGGGGGAAAGGGGTTTAAGCTGCATGGTTTTACAGGAACGTGAAGCAAAGAGGCCTTAAGGCTTTACGAAAGATCAAAGGTGGTGATGCTTACAGGCCATCTAGGCAATCAAGAGGCTGCTTCAGGCGGTTGCCTTGGCACAGGTAGTCATAGATCTCACTGTTCTCCACGCCGGGGTACGGCGTCTGGCCTCGGGTCGCAATCTCCCACATGGTAACGCCGAAGGACCACTGGAGAGAAGGCGTTAGAAGAGGGGTGTGAGAAAACACTACAGCTCCCTAGTTAAACCAGTCCCAGATTCAACCACGGTGATGGTAGTGTCATCACGGGTCATGGGGGAGAGACCGAAGCGACGTTAAGAAAAGTTAATTTTTTTTAGACCACAGTTTCCAGAATCTGCCAGCTGTTGAGAAGATTTTTGGGTTTTGGGAGCTGTAGTCCCCCCCCCCCAAAAAAAAGAACTTTTTTGAGCTCGGAAGAGAAGCTCAGCCCACGGGAAGGGAAGAGCTTCCTTCTGACGGGTTTGAGCGGGAAGCAGGGAAGGAGGGAAGGAATCCGAGGCACTTCCCCTCACCACATCGCTCTTGATGGTGTAGACACGGTCAGCCAGGCTCTCGATGGCAATCCACTTGACGGGCATCTTCGAGATGCGCCCTTGCCGATAGTAATCGCCGTTGTAGATCTTCTTGGAAAGGCCAAAATCGGCCACGCAGGCCGTCATGCTCTCGTTGAGCCTGGGGCGGGAAGAAAAATCACATGGGGCGGAAGAAGCTAGCTAGGTGAGAAATGTTGAGCCTGAGGGCAGCAGGCGGCGAAGACTGCCTCCCCACAACCATCTCCCCACAAACTCTGTTGGCCAGGATTTCTGGGAGTTGAAGTCCAGGAACATCTGGAGGCCCAAGGTTGGGGACCACTGTGGTAGATCCTGTGAATTCCCTTACCCCCACAGAGGCCCAAGGTTGGGGACCACTGTTTAGATCCTGTGAATTCCCTTACCCCCACAACCCCACACCCATCTCTGCTGACTCACATGCAGTTACGGGCGGCCAGGTCACGATGTATAAAGTTCTTGCTGCTGAGATACTCCATCCCGCTAGCGATGTCCGTCATGAATTTGACCAGTGTCTGTGTCGGCAGGTACTGGTGGGTGTAGGAGAGGACCAAGGGATTAGATGGGGTTGAGCTGGGGGCACCCCCTCTTTTCCTCCAAAGCATTACCCCATTACCCATGTCTTGAAGGGGTACAGCATGACTCTCCCTTTGTGTTTGGACACCAACTTCTAGAGTTCCTTCACCATTGCCTACCCTGGCTAAGGCTGATGGGAGACGTAGGGCAAAAAAACCAATACCTGGGAGGGGGGGATCACAATTACCCATTGTCTTTGTACTTCCTTTATGCCAGTCTGTCTCCTTTCATGAAACCACAACGAAAGGGGATGGAGCCAAGGGCTTCACAACTGGGGTTTTGAGGTTCAGATGCCAACAACGGAGGCGTCAGAGGGCTAATACGTACCACAGGGCTGTCCCCAAGGCGGGAGTAGAGGAGAAAGCTGTGGAGGTCACCATGCTTCATGAATGGCAAGATGACAACAGGAGAAGGGTACCCGTCGCCCTCTGTGTTCTGAAGACAGACTCCTGGAGGGAGGGAGGGAAGGAAGGAAGTCATGGTGGCAACCATTTCAAGGGAGGTCCAGATAATTTTACGTTGTGCTCTTACTCTCAGACAAGAAATCTGATATAACTAAAGCAGTGGCAAAGTTTTGCGTGGCAGCAACGGAGTGTCACTCTTCCTTCCATGCACTGATTAAAGCAATGCCAGATGTTTCGTAATGGTGTGTATTGGCCACTTTATACGCCACACTACTTAGGATGATGAGACTGGAAGTGGTACAAAGTTTACTGAATTGATTTATTGATCTCCTCAGTCCTGTGAAACAATGGAGATTCTATAAAATGTAGTCATATTGTAACAGGCTGTATATTTTTATTGTAGTTTCATGTTATATATAATAATAATAATATTTGAATATATCTGCTGGAGACTGTAATAAAGATCAGAAACATAAAACCTCTGTATTAGTGTGGATTCTGATGCTTGGAAAACTTCAGTTTTTTTCCAGTGTATAATAAAGGTTGAGTGTCCAAAGGTAACACATGAACCTCTTACTGAAAGGTGGGGACGAAGGGGGATTCCACCACCTCAATAAGCAGACGATGTCCCATTTTTATTTTTAAGGAAGTCCCTCTGCTCTGTATACCAAATTAAGCTCAGCAGCTGGGATCCGTTTGGGTTAAGTTGTCATTCCTTATGAAATGAATTTCCCCGGTAGTTATGTCTTGATGGCTCATAGAGGGATGGGAGACTACTCTCTCCAACCAAAGCCAACTTCTTTCTGGCATTTCAGAGAACCCCATGAAGGTGGCTCAGTCTGGCACACTCTTAAGAGCAGAAGGAGAGGAACCACCAAGCCACGTGTCACCCACGCTCTGCCATCGTTCCTCCATAATGATGTGACACTCTTCATTTTTTTCAAGCCACCTTCAGCTCTCTTTAGGACAATGGTGGGGTAAAAGGATTTTAAATAGAGAGAGAGAAAGAACAAGAAACCGGGCCTTCTCGGCAGTGGCCCCTCACCTTTAGAACAGTCTCCCTTCAGAGATCTGTCTGGCTCCCTCGCTGGGTGTTTTCAAGAGCAAACTTAAGACCTGGCTCTTTAGGCAGGCTTTCCCTCCTGTCATCACTTGAATATTTTTTCCTATCTTGAACCACATTACTACTGTTGTTTTTTATTTTATTATATTGTTTTTATTTTATCTATTATTGTTAGCCCAGAGTAGAGTAGACCTTTGGTCTAGATGGCTGGGGTATAAATCTAATAAGATAAATAAATAAAAATAGGTAGCCACCTAGAGTAGACTTTGGTCTAGATGGGTGGGGTATAAATTTTATCTCTGCCTTCCTCTTCCCCACTTCTCCCGCTTAGCACCCGATTGCTCTGCCTCCAACACCATCAGAACACCACCTTCCCTGACTTGGTGCCTTTATGGAGCTGTGTGATTCCTTTTTTAAAAACCTGTAATTAAATGATTGTGAGGATAGCAGAGAGAACACCTTGGACTCTACTGGAGGGCCATCATGCCTCTCCTACACCCTAAGAAGCTCTTCTCACCTGTGGACATGGGGTGGGGGGGGAGTGGGGTTGGACCTAGAAGAAGGGAAAGGAGCCGTTTGAAAGATTCTAGAAAGAGAAGACAGCCCTCTAGAAGTGATGGGGGGAGACAAAAAGGGACGGGAAGGGAAGGGGAAGGGAGGGAGGACAGAGAAACAAGGAAGGAAGGAAGGAGCTGACAATGGATAGAAGGAAGAAAGGAAGAAAGGAAGAAGGAAGGAAGGAAGGGAAGTGGTAGTGGAGGGAGGGAGGGAGGAACGAAGGAAGGAAGGAAGAGGTAGATGGAGGGAGCGAGGAAGGAAGGAGATGATGGTGGAGAGAAGGAAGGAAGGAAGGAGATGATATAGAAGAGAAGGAAGGAAGGATTATTTCACACCTTCGCCAACTCCGATCAGCAAATAACAGGACAGATGAAGCTTTAAGAATATGGGTCTGATCTCCAGTGATCTATTTTAGGTACACGGGAACCCGAGATGATGATGGATAGAAGGAAGGAAGGATTATTTCACACCTTCGCCAACTCCGATCAGCAAATAACAGGACAGATGAAGCTTTAAGAATATGGGTCTGATCTCCAGTGATCTATTTTAGGTACAGGAAACGGGAACCCTGCCAGGCTCCTTGGGTTATTTTCCCACGGCTATTGGTTTAGAGGGAAAGGGGGTGGAGAAGCCAAAGCCGAGATTCTCTCCCCAGCTGCGGAATGGAAATAGGGTCTTCTTTTTTATAGAGAGAGAGGAAGGAGAGGGAGTACTTGTAAAAACCTCAGCATGATCCCCTACTCTGTGGTCCCCCAAGCCAGATGCTGCTCAACCGCCACATGTGGCGGCCTATGGGGCCCGTGGGGACTGATCCTCTCTCATCCTGCACCCCCCCTCCCCACCAACAGCCTAGTTTCTCTAGTCCAAGATGGGTGATAAAGAAAAAGGGGGAATGGCTACATAGCTCTGCGGTTGAGGCATCTGGCTGCGGAGCCAAAGGTTGGGAGTTCGATTCCCCCACGGGGCCTCCTTGACAAGGGCTGGACGTGATGATCATTCTATAGGGTCCTTTCCAGCTTTACAGGTCTACCTTTTTCAACTTAGAAATGTCACCTTTTTGGACCACCAGTCAAGCTCGTAGGGGGACCTGGGGGATGTAGTCCAAAAGATGAACACCCCCCCCAACTTGTGATCCTTACAGATTAAATAAAAGTGGGGGAGCAGGTGAAGGCATCAGGGGATTCCCCCCCTCTGCCTGCACAGGATCTGATGGATAGTCTCCTCCTCCCCCTGGACCCACAGCCCTTCCCCACAGCTTTCTCTTTGGGAACAGCTTCCGTGGGGCGGCTTAGCCAGTCACACATTCCTTCCCTCCGCCAATGTTATTTTTTACTCTATTCCTCCTTAAAGGGGACGGAGGGGGGGGGAAGGAACCCTTAAAGCCTTTCAAGGCACCAGCAGCGAAAAAGCCTGATTCACATTATCCCAGCTCCCCCTTCCCTCCGCCAATGTTATTTTTTACTCTATTCCTCCTTAAAGGGGACGGGGTGGGGAGGAACCCTTAAGGCCTTTCAAGGCACCAGCAGCGAAAAAGCCTGATTCACATTATCCCAGCTCCCATCCGCCTCCCACCCTTTGCCCTAAACCTACTCAGAGCTTCCAGGATCCGTGCCAACATC